GAGCCCAGAATGGGAACACTGGTGGGCTTGGAAGTTTGAGGAATTGAGTGTGACGATGCGAATAGTATAGTGATGGTCGGGTTGTACGTTTTCGATCGTGACCGAGGTCTCTTGGGGGGAGATGTCCCCTATGTCTATGCCATTGATGCGTCTCTCGTCCTTGATGACGGATGCTCGCTGGTCTGGCCGCTTCCATTGGAGCACCTCGCCATCTGCTTTGATGCCCGCAAGCGAGACGAGGGGTGGGATCTGGGACTTCGAGGCCGAGCACCTGTACTAGTTTTTTTACGGGCTGTGAGAGGACTTGGTAGGCGCGGAAGGCGACCCTAGAGGCGGCATCGTGTTAGTGTGGGAGGGGGGAATTGGGAGGGTGAAGAGAGTGGAGTGGAGTGGAGACTGGAATCTGCGTACCAGAAGAGGGCCGACACGACGCAGGCAGTGCGTAGCCAGCCCGACGAGGAGAATAAAAGGGCCTCCATGTCATAGTGGGCGACATCAGGAGGCCGCCAGTACAGCGACGAGACGGGATCGGAGAACATGGCGACAGCGGCGGCGACCCGTGAGCGTGTGCGTATAGTATATATATGTGTGTGTGTATGTGTGTGTGTATGTGTGTGTGTATGTGTGTGTGTGTGTATGTGTATGTGCAGGCGTCGGCGGCCTCGTCGCGCTGCAGGTGGTTTTGTCAGTGTGCCGGGCGGGCGCCGCCGTGTTGTTTGCGAGGTTGAGGTTTGCGGGCGTGCGGGCAGTTCCCATTAAGCAGCTAGGCAGCGGGTTACCCGTAGGCCTACCACGGTCCCTAGAGTCAAGTAGTTGCTCCGTGAGTACAAGCCCTTCTTGGCGCTCTGCGGTCCACCTCGCCATCCAGCCTTCCCAATGCTACTTGGTATTGCCTGGACTCCAGCTTTGATTCCACTTCTCTTCTGCCGTGCAGCGAACTAGCGGGGGCCACTTGGCAATGTGGTGGCTTTTGTTGATAAGAATCGGGGCCTCGCAGTTGTTGACCTGCATACAGTACCGGTATGTAGGAGTAGCTCATGTAGAGTACCGGTACCTACAAGTGGCTGGATTGGGAGGCACACGCACTACTTGTATAGCAAGTACTATCCACTAACATCCACTATGACTACTGCTACCATTGTTGCACTGTGTACCCATGTCCCATGTATGGCAGAACACATGCACATGCACATGCATCGTCCGTCACTATGCAGCGTGGCCCTCGCGTGGTGGAGGAAGCAAGGCTGCGGTTGAACCAGTGGGCGCGCCCAACATAGTTTGTCCTATAGTAGTAGGCCTTGTGTACGGAGGTGACTTTCAAAAGTTCTTGCTAGCGTATTTATTAGCGGCTAATCTATTAGCCTAACTTTCTTAGCCTATAAACTTATTTTTAAAGCTATAGATAGTAGTAGTAATAGTTCTATATACTTAAACTTTTAGTATTTTTACTCTATACTATAGCTCCTAATACTAATCCCTATACCTATACGCTTATTATAACTCTAAAGTTACCTTTTAGTAGTAAATCTACTACCTAAATTAGTACTATTATAGGTATTTTACTACACACTATTAACTTAATCTATAGTAGAGCCTACTAATATAGCTTTAAGCCTAATTTACCTATAATAAAACTCCTTCTTAAGTACCTTAAAGACGCCCCTTATACTAGCTACCCTTATAAGTAAGATACTATCTATAATACTACTCTTTTATAAGTACGCTAAAATAAATATAGGAGAGAGAAGAGCTATACTAATATAGCTAGTAATCTTAGTCTTTATAAATGTAAAGGACTTAGGCTTATACCTAAGCCTAGGTCTAACACAAGATAGACTAAGTCTAACACTACTACTAAGCGAACACACTAGACACCTATAAAAAGGCGTAGAGGGCTTATCTCTCCTTTAAGATACTAAATACTATTATTAACGCTTATTATATTCTCCCTTAAGGCTAGTCTATAATATTTTAGTATCTTCTTCTAAATATACTATAATAGTGTGGAAATTTGGATTACTAAGGTTAGGAATGATTTAGGAGATAGATTATTAGATTGTATCTACTACGATCGTACTTATATATATAGAGCTTTAGCTACCCTTACTAGAAGGTAAATAATTAGTAAACCTTCCTTACTAGAGCTCCTACTTTTTATTAGGCACTTAGCAGTAAGCTAGCAGTTAATTAGATAGTAGGTTATATAGGGGTATTAATTAGGATTAATTAGGATTAATTAGGATTAAGATGCTCTATAATCTAGTTAATATCCCTCCTATAACACACCCCTTAGGTGTAGGTAGATCTTTTATTATTATAGTTACACTTATAGTTAGTAGGTAGTATAGCTAATTAGAGTGTTATATATCTAAAGGGTTAAATTAGCTTACCCTTTAGATACTAACTAGCGCGCCTTCTTTATTTAGCCTGCGCTTACACATGTAGATATTATCTAGATAGAGCTTTATAACTCTATCTACCTAACTATAATCTTTACTATAGCTTAAGTTATAAGATTATCTAACCCTAAAGATCTAAACTATACCTATATCCCTACTAACCTATCTTAGTTAAAGTTAAAACCTACTACTTACGCTTACTCTACCTACGCTGCCCTTATTACCTCCTATATAGCTAAAGCTATAGTTACTAAAGCTACTACTATTAAAGAAGAGCGTGCTACTACTAAGCGTAAAGCTATTATAGAGTGTGTAGTAGCTAAGTATATAGCTACTACTATTATAGCTAAGATTATAAAGCTAAGGTAAGGCGCTCCTACTCTAGCTCCTACTACTCTAGCTCTAACTCTAGCTCCTGCTCCCCCCTAGACCCTGCCTAAGGCCCCTGCTCCTGCGCCTGCTCCCTCTCTAGCTCCTAAGGAGACCCTAAGATCCTCCTACTATAGAGAGCCTAGTATTTATTATACTAAAACTTGTCTAAATTATCTACGCTTAGCGCTCTTTAATAAGTCTAATAGCGAGTGCTATAACTCTTCTAGTAGGGGGACTTAGTACTAGTAGTACTTCTCTAGGTATAGCTATATCCTAATATATATAATCTATATAAGAATTTTTCCTTTATAACGCTTTTAGTAAGATCTTATACTAATAAACTAATAGCCCTAAGCTTACCTAATATTCTACGCTGTCCTTTCTAGTAAGGAAGTAGGTAGGTAAGAGCTAAGACCTTCTTAAGGATAAGAAGCAGAGGGTCTTAGTGCTCCTTAAGGAGATTAAGGCTAAATAGCAGGAGCTAGTAAAAGCTGCTACTACTACTACTAAGCTTACGCGCAAGGCTGCTTCTGCAGCTAAGGGCGCCTAGAGCTCCTTATTAGAAGATAAGGACTCTAGCTTCTCTAAGGTTCCCCCTATAGATCCTAGATTAGGGCAACCTAGGCAGCTCCCTATAGACTCTAAGGCACGCTTTGCGCGCGTGATAGAGCTCCTTAGGGAAGCTACCTAGTTAATAATAGAGAGGTAGGCTATAGTTAGTTATTTTTATATTATATTAATAGATCTTATATACTACCTTACTTTAATTAATACTATATAATATATACTCTGCTATTATATAACTTTAGGTGCTCCCTAAACCTTATAAATTATTATATAGTTAGGTTTTTAGTAAGCCTATTAGCTAGTATATTACTAGTAGGTAGGTAGGTAATATAGAAAGATCCCTTTATATACTCTTGTCTTAGCTACATGTTTTAAATATCTACATAGCGCAGCTTAGTAGTAATCCTTTTATTATTGCCTACTACTAACCTAATAGTTTATTAATTATTATAATTAATTATCTAGGTAGTATCTAAAGTAAGGTGTATTTTAGTTAAAAAGCGTTTTAACGCTATTACTTCTTTACTTACTTGCTTAAGCGCAAGGAGCTCTACCTTAGTAGTTAAAGTAGTAATAGTTAATTATTAAGCTACCTTCTAAATAATAGGTCCTCTAAAGAGCGTGATTAGGTATCTATGTAATAATTGCCAAGTATTAATATTATTAGCAAATAACGCATTACTATATATTATAAGCTTATTAGGATCCCTATTCCTATATTAGATTAATTAGTATTAAGTTTAGTATAGATAGATAATTACTTAATTAACTACATTAAAGTATTATTTAGATAGGTTAGTAAGGTATTAGGAGAGCTAGGAGGCTATATAGGCAATATTAGGGCGCACTATAATTAAGGTATAAAGGATTAATCTAACGCGCTCCTAATAGTCCTTAATCTCCTTTTTAGTAGCTTCTTTAGTGCTCTTTTTAATATCTTTACTTAATAGTAGTATAGTAGGGAATTTTCCTATCTCTGCTAGATTAAATTTCTTTGTAATCTTGTTAATGTATTTATTATAAATAAGCGTTATTGTCTATCTCTTTCTATCCTAGATTACTCTTACCCCTAGAAACTAGCTTACAGGTCCCTTTTCTTCTATAGTATATCTTTGCTTTAGAGCTTGGATAACTTTGTAAGCTTAGCTTGCGTAGTTTTAGTAATAGAGTGATAGGATATTGTCCACATAGAATATTAACAAGATACTGTGATCTCTATTAAAGAATAGGCATAGCTCCTCTTTAGAAGCAATAAGCTTATTTTCTTAGAGTGTAGTTAAGAGCTTATTATACTATAATAATAGTAAGTCTTTTAGTCTATATAGAGCTCGTTTAAGCTTAACGCACTTCCTAGGTATTTAATATCCTTTAGGTAGCTCGCAGATAACTATAGGGTGTTAATCCCTTAAGGTATTAAGGAAAGCTCTAACAACGTTATATTAATATATCTTAAGGTTAAACTTAGCTCTAATAGCTATTATAGTCCTAAAGGTTTAAGCTACTAGGGTAGCTACGTAGGTTAAATAAATTAAGTTAGTAAGCTATAGATCTCCTCTTACTACTATCCTTGCTTTGCACTTAATTAGGTAACTATCCTAATTAAGCTTATATGTAAACACCTATTTAAGTAGGAGTAGATACTCTCCTTTAGTTAGCCTATTAATCTCCTCCTAGGTACTAGCTTTTAGTAGAGTATTAATTTCTTTATATGCTACATCTCTAAATTACTATCCTATTTAGTAGTTATAGAGATCCTTCTATTATTTTAGCTCTTTTTGTAGAGCGTCCTAGTGCGTATTCCTTTTAGGGTTTTTAGGAGATTTACTCCCTATTACTACTGCAATTACAGCGTGGATTATAGCGTTTAGTTTAGGATATACTAAAAGATTATATAAGGGATTTCTAATTAGATCTATATCTAATAGATCTATTACTATGTATATCCCTATACTTGTAGAGCCTCCTAGTAGTTTATTAGGGTCCTGTCCCTAAGCTCGCTTACTAATACGCGTTAGTAGTAGTCCTTTAACTTGTGGTTTTCTGCTTTTTCTAGGAGCTCTAGGTGCCGCTTGTAAGGGATCTACAGGAGATACAGAATCTAGTCCTAAAGTAGGTAGGTAGGAGCTCTGCTTACCACCCCTATAAGAGCTAGATAGGGTACTCTTACCTATCTCCGTGCTCTTATAGACTGACCTACTAATAGCACTCTCCCCTCTAGGTCTTTCCTAGGAGCTACCTATTATAGCGTTAAAGTAAGTTAGATTACTACTATCTTAGGTAGTAAGACCCTAATCTATAACCTATATAGATCCTTTATCTCCTATACTAAAGTTTAGTTCTAGTGTTAGTTTAGGAGTTTAGAGCCCTATTAGCTTAGGGGACTTTGTATAGATCCTTTATGCTAAGCTCTATGCTTAGTACCTACGCTAGAGGTGTCTGCTTAGGGGGTTGTGAATCACTAGGCTAGCTAGCCTAATTATCTACCTCCTCTAGCTCTACCCTACCCCCTAGCTCCTGCGCTAGGTTTAGTCCTCCTTGCTTACTAGACTCCTTATATTGCTCTGCTGTAATACAAAGCTAATTAAAGATATTAAGCTCTTTATATGCTTCTCCTATATTGTAGATCTTATCTTTGCTAATAATATTAACTATCTTTTAAGCCTCTAATTATTAAAGCTACTTTAGATCTTTCTCTTTATAGAAAAGATCCTTATTAAAGGTAACGTTCTATATTATAATAATTTAATTAAGTAAGAGGATCTATATCCTGTATATATTAGATGCTCTGTATCCTACTAGATATCTAATATAACCCTAAGGGTTCACCTTAAAAACCCTCTTGTAACGCCTAGCTACTTAATCTCTATTAAGGGGGTAAGCTTGACAGCCATAGGCGTATATTCTGCTCTAATTAGG